TCTGGAATGCCTCTTATTAATGTTATGTCGTGATCTATCCTCCAGATCTGCGACTTTATTTTTGAGCCATTCAATTTCTTCATCCCTTTCGTTGTGGGCGTCTACTAGGGTGTTAAAGGAAGTGGCGTATTCTCCCATTTTTGTTTCAACATGGTCAACTCTGTCGCCAAAATCATCAATCTCTGATTTGATTTGTTAGGTTAATGATATCTGACTGTATGGATGATCTTAATGAAAGGAGCATCTCTTTCATTAATGTATCAGAAACAGGCTGACTAGCAGTAGGAAAGTTAGCCATTGGATCTGAGAAATTACCTGCAGAATGTGAAGTATTAGTGTGAGAATCTGATACAGCATGCTGTGGGTTAATAGCTGATATTCTAGGTTTAGATTTTGCTGGGCTTTCAATAAAGGAAGTAGAGAAAGCAGGGGAGACAGTATGCAGTAAGATAGAGCTGTTTTTGTGCTTAACAGAAGCTGCAGAGACTTGCCTGTGTGCTGAGTGAGAGGAGGAGGATCCTGAGCTGCTGCTGCTGCTGCCGCCTTGTTGGGGATTGCTGTGATCCAGCCGAGGGGGAAACTCTGTTAGTTTCAGGAGTTTTCTATCAGCTTTCCTCATCTCCCTGAGGGTCACCGGGCTGTTGCCTCAACTCTGGTTGCTTTAATAGTGTTAGGTCCGCTGCGGCTGTGTGCTGGTACTGTGTGTACAGCAGAGCTGTGTGGTTATGCAGCCATTCAGATTCCGCTCACTGCCATGTCCCCGCCTACTTTCTCGTTAATGGAGGATGCAAGCCAAAACATTTTTGAAGTTTTTGCCAGGTTTTATTGCGATCACTGTCAGGGATATTCTGTTTTACTATCTGTACCATCACCAGAACACCAAGAAAGGGCAAAACAAAAATGATGCAGGTGCTGGTAGGAGGAGTAATGGAGAAATTCATGGGGAGACCTGTGACAGTTTCTTAAAAGTGGCACATCACCGTAGTATTTTAGGGTGATTTTCCTTATAGGAACCAACACAAGTCAGCAGGAAAAACCTGAGGTTTTTTTCCATCCCCACTTCATCCAAAAATTAAACAAAAAACAAAATGTTGGAGTTGTACTTAAATTAGAGAAAAACAGAAATATTTTAAAGTGTAACTAAGACCAACATTTTGCATTCATGCTCCCTTGCACTCAAGCAGGTGACCCTCAATCTGTTAATAGCCGCAGGCCTGAGATCTAGGCACCTGGCTGAAGATATTTGAGTTATATGTGCTAAGGCTTTGCATTGTCCATCTTGTACAGCCATTCTAGTGGTGGTATGTACAGGTAACAGCTTTTGCAACATAAAATAGGTTTTACTTTTTGTTACCAATATGATCCCACCACAAATCCGAATAATGTGATTATCAATGGTATTAAGACAAAGTAAGGGTTGCAATGGTGTCATAACTGGCCCAAACTGGTCCATAGTATTTGAACTTGCTCTTCAGAACAGTGTTCCAAGCCAGAATTCAGTTAAAAAAAAACTAAAGGCAAACCTTTTTTTTTTTTTTTTTTGGATAGAGTAGAAATGGATTAAGAAACCAATTATGTTTTATGGCCATCTGCACTATGGTTAGGGAGCTTCACCTTTTCTATTTGTCCTGTTTACCATTATCATCTACCGTCATCGTCATCTCAGCACAAGGTTTTCAGTGTTACTTTGTGTAGAGCTACCCACTTGAAAGCCACTGGTTTTGGGTCCCCCTTTTTTCCTGCAATGCCAGGCAACACACATCTTCCAACTTGTATTCCGACACAAAGAAATAGTCCATAGGCTTGTTTTTTTTGTATTTTTTAGGAATTTCATCTTGGATAGGGTAGAGGGGTTATGAGATGCCCAATTTGATTGAACAATAACAAAATGAGGACAGTTTCATTCTCTAGCATACTGCGAAAATAACAGATATTTGACTGTGTTGCAGCAGGAATAGCAATAGTCTTTAGAAAAGTAATCTCCTTTAAGGGAACTTGGTGTCCTCTGAATAGATTTTCAGCAAAGCCTCAAAACTGTAGAAGCTCTTAGTCCCCTTAGTGAACAAAATACCAGTTTACCTGGCTACAGTATCTGACCCCAGGACAAAGGGTTGGGTAAGCATTAGCCTGTCCCTTAAGACTTTCCAGGAACTTACTTCTAGTAGACTTCTCCCTTATAGGCCCTGAGGGTGTAGAGGTACTCACAATATCCTTGTTCTGCTGCTATGGATATACCTGCTTTCTTGCCTTCCGTTGGGATTTTTTTCTTTACAGGCTATGAAGGGTGTCCTTCCCCAGAGGATTGAAAGGGCAGTGGAGCTCCCTTCTTCAGCCTTCCTTCTTCCTCCAACCTCCTGCCTGGAGATGGAGCCCCTTTCACAGGGCCCCCCTCCCAGGCTACACAGCAGCACTTCAATTCTCCATCTTCCACCTGGCCAGGTTCTGTCATATTTATGGGCTGGTCTGCCACACTGCCAGGCCTCCTGCCTCGGATTATCAGACTCCCATAAATATGCAGATCAGCTCCTCCTCACCTCTGGTCAAACACAGTGTCCCCCGTCATTTCTTGGTGGCAGCACTGAGGGTCTAAAACTCTTTGGGATTAAATCTATACATAAGTCTCTTCCAGAGGAGACTTTTTGGAATTTTACCCTCAGTACCCTGTCTTTTGAGGAACTTAATGAAGAATTAGAAATAAATACATTAATATATCACCACTATTAATTAAGTGTTTTTCATGTTGCCCTTATTGGCATATTCAAGTATAGTAGGATTCAGTATGACTAGACCTATCAGCCAAGGTCTGGTTAAATGCGTTACTACTACTACCATTATTATTCCTAATCATATGCAGCAATTTGGGATACACATACTATATCAGTAGAAGCTATACTAATTTATAACAAATAATAAATAATATATAATACACAATATAGAACACAATTCTTTGTTGGGAAAATACCTTAGATGCTATCCTTTAAATTACGATTTACATAGGGATAGTGCAAGTGCAAATGGATTTCTCCTCTCTCTCTATACTATTTTTTGCTAAACGTATTGGGATGCCTGCCTTTACATGCACATGAATTTTAATGGCATCCCAGTCTTAGTACGTAGGGTTCAATATTGAGTTGGTCCACCCTTTGCAGCTATAACAGCTTCAACTCTTCTGGGAAGGCTGTCCACAAGGTTTAGGAGGGTGTCTATGGGAAGGTGGTTTTACCATTCTCCCAGAATCAGATATGTGAGGTCAGGCACTGATGTCAGACAAGAAAACCTGGCTCGCAGTCTCCACTCTAATTCACCCTAAAGGTGTTAAAGGTAAGGACTCTGTTCAGGCCAGCCAAGTTCCTCCACCCCAAATTCACTCATCCATGTCTTTATGGACCTTGCTTTTTGCACTGGTGCGTAGTCATGTTGGAACAGGAAGGGGTCATCCCCAAAACTGTTCCTACAAAGTTGGGATCATGAAATTGTCCAAAATGTCTTGGTATGCTGATGACCTAAGAGTTTCCTTCACTGAAACTAAGGGGCCAAGCCCAACCCCTGAAAAACAACCCCACACCATAATCCCCCCTCCACCAATCTTTACACTTGGCACAATGCAGTCAGGCAAGTATTAATCTCCTGGTAACCGCCAAACCCAGACACCTCCATCGGATTTCCAGACAGAAAAGCGTGATTGGTCACTCCAGAGAACACGTCTCCACTGCTCTAGAGTCCAGTGGCAGTCTGCGTTACACCACTGCATCCAACACTTTGTATTGTGCTTGGTGATATAAGGCCTGGATGCAGCTACTCGGCAATAGAAACCCATTCCATGAAGCTCTCTATGCACTGTTGTTGTGCTAATCTGAAGGCCACACAAAGTTTGGAGGTGTTTAGCTATTGACTCTGCAGACAGTTGGCGACTTCTGCACACTGTGTGCTTCAGCGTGCTCTGACCCTGCTCTTTCATTTTTATGTGGCCTACCACTTGGTGGCTGAGTTGCTGTTGTTCCCAGTTGCTTCCACTTTATTATAATACCACTAACAGTTGAGCGTGGAATATTTAGTAGCATGGAAATGTCACGGATGGACTTATTACACAGGTGGCAACCTATCAGGGTACCATGCCTGCATTCACTGAGCCCCTGAGAGCGACCCATTCTTTCACAAATGTTTGTAGAAGCAGTCTGCATGCCTAGGTGCTTTATTTTATACACCTGTGGCCATGGAGGTGAATGGAACACCTGAATCCAATGATTTGAAGGGGTATTCCAATACTTTTCGCAACATAGTATATATAGACCATAAACCAAATCAATTAATCAATGGTTCAAATAAAGTGCCATATAAAGTGCAAGTGCCATAAACGTGACAAAACTTGTAATATATAATCTGCTTAAATTGTAAACAATCTACCACTCCACTGCAAAGCCTTTTCACTCTGTGTATAGTGTCCGTGTCCTTCTGGGACCGAACTCAACAAATGGTGTTGACCACCCAAACTTACACTGAGATAGGTCAAAAGGGCTGGATCACAGCTCCACTGTATGTGGCGGTTTCCCAGGATCAGTCAGTATGCATACATTATCTTGTACCCATACAGGGAGGAATCAGACAGAAAAAATCCTAATAGCATAATACTGTTTAACCACTAGCCTACAGGGCACTTATACCCCCTTCCTGCCCAGGCCAATTTCCAGCTTTCAGCACTGTTGCACTTTGAATGACAATTGTGCGGTCATGCAACACTGTACCCATATGACATTTTTATCATTTTTTGTGACAGATAGAGCTTTATTTTGGTGGTATTTAATCACCTCTGGGTTTTTTATTTTTTTTTAAACCAAAAAAACCACTGAAAATTTTGAAAAAAAAAACGTTTTTTTCTTAGTTTTTGTTATAAAATTTTGTAAATAAGTGATTTTTTTCTCCTTCGCTGATGTGCGCTAATGAGGCTGCACTGATGGACACTGATAGGTGGCACTGATGGGCATTGACAGGCATCACTGATGGGCACTGAAAGGCAGCACTCATAAATGGCACTGATAGGCTGCACTGACTGGCACTGATAGGCGGCACTGACTGGCACTGTTAGGTGGCACTGATAGGCGGCACTGCCGGGCACTGATAGGCGGCACTGATGCACACTGATAGGCGGCACTGACTGGCACTGATTGGCAGCACTGATAGGTGGCACTGATGGGGTGACACTGAAGGCAGCTCAGATGGGCACTGATATGTGGCACTGATGGGCACTGGCAGGTGGCATGGATGAGCACTGAGAGCTGGCACTGATGAACACTGACAGGTGGCGCTGTTGGGGCTACACAGATCATCAGGGCACACTGATCATCGGTGCTCTGATGATCTGTGTACATGTCCCCTCCAAGGAATGCTGATTACCAGCTCTCCTCTCCTCACGAGCTGTCAGCGTGACAGCTCGTAAGGAGAGAAATGCCAATAACTGGCATTTCCTGTTTACATGTGATCAGCTGTGATTGGACACAGCGCACCACCGATCACCACGCTGCGCACAGGGTGGGACAGAAGGGCCCAGAAGCAGAGTTGGTGATGGTGGGGGCTTCTGCTGCACCGCCGCTCGTGTGGTTAGAATGGGAGGACGTCATATGACGTCCTCCCAGAACGAGAGAATTGCCTTGAGTCCGTCATATTACTATATGGCGGGCGGGAGGCGGTTAATTAAAACCACCATAAAAACAAACAAGATTCCACTCACAATATTTAATGCCGAACCTGTCATCCTGGAATCATCTGCCAAAAGCTCTGTGGTTGATTGCCACCACGCCGACCAGCATGGGAGCCAGCGTGCTTTCCACAAGGTGGAAGTGGTGTGTGAACCAGAAGTTCCTGCTCCAATGTGTTTTCATCACATCATCAAGTATTCGACCAGAATGCCTACCAGAGTGTAGGTGTGGTATTCCAAAATCAATGATATTTACCGTATGGAAGAACTGACAGCCACTCTTCACAACTCTGAAGAACAGTTTAGAGATAAGGGGAAGTCCCTGGAGATACTTCATTTTCATGACTGCCTACCTGCAGGATGTCGCCCATTCTGAGCCTACCCCAAGCTGAGTCACTTTTGCAATCCAGATCCGACTCCCAGGCCTTCATTGGCAGCACCACTTTGGAGAGAGTGACGCGCATGTTGTTCTATTTTTATCTAATTATTTGTTAGTTCTCCTGATCCCTCCTTCCCCTTTATCATCCATCCCTTCTCTTTTTGAACCATGACAATTGGTCAACTTCTCACTAACGCTCAAGTCACATTTCCTTTTTCAGTCTTGTGGAACATAAGGGTTGGTTCTGTCAACTTACCTGTTTTTGATTTATGTAAAATCACTGTTTGATTAGTTCTGACCTCATTGACAGATTTTGGTTTTATTTCTTGTGGACCCCTTATCCTGTATCAATAATCTATGCAAACCTGCCAATATGAAGTTGTCAATCTTACCGGCCTTGCTTCTTACAGGGTATTTCTATACCTCCAGTATGTGATAATTTATTGCATTTTTACTGGACTGGAAGGTTTTTGTGATAGCTTGACAAGTTGTACGTGATGGTATCAAAAAATTTTGAGACTAGTTTTTGTACCACAATTCACGATTTCACATTTGCTCTTTGTTCTAACTTGATGTACATGATGAAATAGCAGAAGTGATAACATACGTGGTCTGAATAGCACCAGTTGCACATGCAGCTCCCGATGTGCACAGGACAATGTCTTTTGGCATACTAACTTATGAAGGTTGGTGCTCCCTGTGACTGTTTGTGCAGCCTTATGCTGCCATCTGTTGGTGTGTTACAAAACTAGTCTTGAAAACTTTTAGATAACACCTCATATTTGAGAAGCTTTGCCGCAATTAAAGAATTTTATAAAATCATCCAAGTATTAGATTTATTTCAATAGACTTTGTCACAGCACTTTTCGGGATCCAGAACCTGTTCCCTTCATTAGGGCTTTAGCACACAACAAAGGAATACATATAAGAAATGTAAAAAATAGAAAAGTGTATCTGATATCTAATTTTCAACGATAGATTTAAAATGTTAAAAATAAACACCTTGTAATATTTATGAAGGGTGGGTGGAGATGGGAACTCAGATGCAGAAATCCTACAAATTAAAGACATTTAGGGAAAAGGTAGGTGATATAATCCGCAATAATGGCTGAAAACTGAAATGACATTTTTCAATATACAGACCATTCAACTCCTGAAAAATATATCACTCTACCAGATCCATTTACTACTAGAAGGAACATGGCACCTAACTTTTCTGAACATGTTCTATTGAAATTGTTATCAATCAATGTACAAAATTATCAAACAGAAGCATATATTTCATGAACTGGCTATTATGGGAGAGCCATTTATGCTGCCTTCTGAATTTGGCTCAGGCATTGCAATCACAACTTTCATTCTGGATCAGAAACGTCTGTGAAAATGTACAAAAGAAAAAACGCATGTATTATTTGACATAAAAATCTGAATTAGACAACATACTTGAGAATATCACTCCATTTGGGGAAGCCATTCAAATTTAATAAACCATCGCTTTAAAAGTCTATAGTGTGGAAGCAGTCCTGCATACCAAGGATAGGTGGTCTTTATGCACTGGTGTAGCTTGACAAACCTGGGCCCCAGTGCACTATATAAAGAGGAGCCCTTGGGCCTTGACCTTGCACCCTGTGTGCAAGGATCACAATAATAAAACTATAGCATAGGTAATATCAACCACTATTTTTTCTGTGTAAAGTATAACTAAAGGCAAAACAATTTTCTTAGTTTTGGATAGAGTGCAGGGGGATTAGAATGGTTGTCAGTTTTTATTGCCATCTGTGCCCCTGTTAGAGAGATTTACCCTCTCTATTTGTCCTGTTAACTATCATCGTTAAAAGTAAAAGAAAATCCCAAATGTTGGGTTGTCTCCAGATAAGTAATAGAGTCTTCCAATGGGGACACTAGTTCTGGTAATCTGGGGGTCCCCAAGAAATTCCTTAGTTTGGCTATGGCACAGCAATTGAAGGGCAATCTCCGTAATGGGACACAGATGGTGAAAAAATAATCTGACAGGGGTTATACCTCTACCTTGCTTTATCCAAATGAAAAAAAAAGCTGCCTATATAGGTCTACTTTAACCAATAGTTTTGTGTTTTTTGTGATTAACCAACCCCAGTTGGTATTTTTTGTAACTTATTTTATTACCCTTTTTGTGTCTAATAAAAGTTATTATATATTGCTTACTCTGATGGTAATCTGGACATTATCTCTTCAGCTATTTTTATGATTATTTTTATAGACGCGTATAGCCAAATCTCCCTTTCAGAGTCTCTCTTTATTTTTTATTTTTTTTTTTAAGTATTCCTTATGGGAGGAATACACCCCTGTGCCTGCTTGATTCATATACTTATGATAGTTGTGACAGTATGAATGGCAAAGTGATGGATGGACGATATGTGTCACCTCGCATGAGGTTCATACTGTGAGGTGTAAGGTGGAGGATCCACTCCGGGTTTTCGGGCCACAATGGCAGAGGTGGTTCCGGACCAGAGTTTGGACTCCACTGATGACCACCAACAGGTGATATAAAAAAGGCAGGGCTGGAGCAAGAGTTGCTCGTGGCCTGGGACTCAGAGAGGTATTCTGAGAGAGCTGTGTGTGTGCTATACCTACAAGAAAAAGGTTTGCTGTTATTTTGTTTTGATGACAGGGAGAAGCCCGTCACCTCTGAGAGAGGAAACATCTTCTGTTTAGTTAGTGCCTGGATGGCAAGGGTTTATTTTTGGTTTTTTGTTTATTTTGATTTTGATTTTCTGCAAACCTTTTAAATAAAGCTGACAACCAGTCAGATTTTGACCGAAAAGCCTGCTGTGCGGTCTAAAACCTTTTTCCCAGGGAAGGAGATCCCCCAACCTGAGCTAACCCCACATAGTGTATATGTATAATTCTATATACTGTATATATATATATGGCTTCTGTGTTTACAGGTGACAGCTCCCACAGATCTGATCTCCTGAGTGGCTCCCACAGAGTGCAGGAAGGAGAGATGCAGGTGCCCAGAGTCTGAGTGTAGTGTGGATGTTGACACCAAATTGGATGATCCCCCTACAAGTGAGAGAGGCAAAGCCACCCCTACAGTGTGCAGGGAGGTAATAGAGATGGCTGGGTGCTTCAGCTTAATACAGCAACAGAAAGACATGTAAAAGAAGGTGGAGTTTTTAAGGAAGGGGGGTTGGTTTGGAGGGGTGGGTGTTGAGGGGGGGGGGGGGGGGTTGTGGTGGGGGGTTGGGGGGGTGGGGTTGAGGGTTTTCTTGAACATGGACAATGGGGAGTTCACTGTACTCCAATGGCCTCCACAGTCACCAGATCTCAATCCAATAGAGGTGGTGGAATGGGAGATTCCCATCATGGGATGTGCAGCTGAGAGATCTGCAGCAACTGTGTGATGCTATCATGTCAGTATGGACCATTCTAAGGAATGTTTCCAACACCTTGTTGAATCTATGCCATGAAGAATTAAGGCAGTTCTGCAGGCAAAAGGGGGTCCAACCTGGTACTAGCAAGGTGTACCTAACAAAGTGACAAGTGAGTGTATGCTAGCAATAGGTGAGAGTTGGTCAAGCATGGCTGGTTTTCCCCTTGGTGTCAAAAGTTTCAAAACTTTGGTATCCCAAAAGTAACCTTCCACTGTTCAAACACCGCAGCAAGACTCACCGTAAACGTCCCTACGGGAGCTAAGTACAGATGTAGAAGATACTCAACAGTGCCTCACCTGGGGAGCATTATGAGGTGCAAGAAACCATTGCCTGGCATGCAAACAGAGACAGGAAAATGGATACTGAGAAGAGCAAGAGATTGCTTAACAGGAGTATTACAAGAACAACGTATCCGCCAGCCTGTAGAAACAAAAAGGAAACATTATTACTGTCACATGCTAGCATTACTGGCAGCTGAGATAAATATATAGACTGTCTTTGCTGATGTATAGAAAACAGCTTTAGTCTGTAACCCTATAATTCACCAAAAATGACCCATAGTGGTTAGAAACCTCAATAAACCCCATATCTCCATAGTTCTATGAACTGTAGCAGATATACGAGGGGCTTTCAAGTCAAACCGGGACTTTTAATTTTAGAGGTATACAAAAGGATGCTAGCGTGGTGGTACTAGATGCAGTAGTAAGTGTGTATTACTGAAAGGCGGCTCACGTGTGTCGTGGGCCAGTTCACAGACCATTAACCAAGATGGAAGACAACAGTGTCAGTGCGTGCATGGAACAGCGTGTGGTGATGAAGTTTATGTGAACGAAGGACGTAAAACCCATGGATCTCTACAGAAGACTTCAAGCACAGTATGGTGATGAGATGCTCAGCTGCAGTAAGACATTTGAATGGTGTAAACGTTTCAAAGATGTACGTCCATCAGTGATGATCCCGGTCGTGGTGGTTCCCAACCCACATCAGTCATTCCTGTGAACATTCAGCACGTGGAACACCTGATCCTGGATAACTGACACACAACCTGTCATGGAATTGGACAAGAGACCAATCTTTCTGTGGGAACGGTGAACAC